AAAAAAACTTTTAAAGAATTAGCTATCAGTTTAATTTGGTTTATGGGGTCTTCACAGCTTATGTGTAAATAATTCTAAGCATAATGAACCATCCTAAATGCTTTTGAATATTCACTTAGCAATGCCTCATTTCTGTACTATTTATAAGAAATGTCTAGGAACAAAAAACATTTTATCTGTGTTGTCTTGTGAAATAAAGTCAACTGCTAATTTTCTGGATCAGTAAGAAAAAAATAATAGCCTGGAAAATAAATGTGCCCAGCCCTGCTCTGCAATGAAAGCCACCGGGCTCCAAACAGGACAGGAGCCACTCTTGTGTTGAACCTCATGAGCTTGCAAAGAAATCCTGCAGATGCAAAGGGAAGTACCCACCAGCAGAGTTAGAGCAGAATGCGAGTTTAAATACTTGGCTTTCCAAGTCTCATTTCCCAAACTGCAATTTCCAACACAAGAAATAGACACCCACTGTTCAATGGGGTCAGCAGTCTGTCAGTAAATACTCAACAATGACTTCTACAGAAAGAAGCTTTAAATCAAACGTAACTGGGATTACACTTCCTAGATGACAGAACTAAAAAGACTGCCCAAAGCCAATCCAGTAGGATGACCAAGGTGGCATAGTTTCTAGGTTTTGATGTTCTGATTGCTTTTTTAAGAACATTTGGTGGTGGTGGTGGGGCAGGAGGGGAGGAATGTTGGTACAATGGCTCAACTGATTAATCCTCCACCACCAGGTCTTGGTATCCCATATGGATGCCAATTCTTGTCCTGGCTGTTCTACTTTCCATCCAGTTCTCTACTTATGGCTTGGGAAAGCAATGGAGGATAGTCCAATGCCTTGGGACCCTGCATTCATACAGGAGACCAGGAAGAGCTCCTGGCTTCAAGTTAGCTCAGCTCTGACCGTTACAGCCATTTAAAGAATGAACCAGCAGATGAAAGATCTCCTTCTTCCTCATCTTTCTGTAAACCTGCTTTCCGTTCAAAATAAATCTTAAAAAAAAAAAAAAAGAACATTCAGGAAACCCACAGCATGATGGTAAGAACTTGACAGTTCAGCAGTGACAAATGTTTCATGTTCAGTTTTGATTTCACTGAGGAGGAGGCTACCATGAACGACTTTCCAGTAAAACTGACAAATCATGTTCTCACATAAGGCTCCGGCTGGTAGGGGAGAGGAAGCCCACAGGAGGAAGGCAGATGGGAGAGGAGATGAGCTGATGCAATCAGACTGAGGGACTACAATACCCAGAAGCCCCTGCCTGGACTGGAAGTGATATGTGAGCCCAACCAGGCCAGAGGGAACCTATCAGCACTCCTGTTACCATGTAAGGAAAAGTTCTATAATCTCCTCATATTCACATCCATCTCCTAGATTTAGCTTTTACTCGTCAATAAGCTGCTGTCTGATTATATTCTATTTCATACATTTGTAAAGTGTAGGATATTCAGACATAACGTGAAAGTTCACTGGAATGAAATATAACTTGGACATCTATAACGAATTATAGATAAATGTGTGCATCATGCATTCCCTCCCTTAGTTTTAAGATAATTATTATAATACTAGTTACAAATACACGAGAAGCGAAATTATACATCATAAATCATATGTGAGTAACAAAAAATTGCTTATCTCATGTATTATTTGATTTTTCTTACTGTCATTCAACATCACTAGTAGGGAACTTATAGTTTTTGTAAAAGTTCACTGATGTAAATTAATAAAACATAAATTTCAAGTTAGTTCTAGTACTAAAAAATGATGGACTAGACTGGATAATCTGTAACATTCTTGGTCTCCAAACTTTAAGCATTGTTTACAGTGTTTGATCAGTAAGTCAGCTTACTATAAGAAAATTCCAAAGTTACCTGTTAAGCTATACAAATGCATAAATGACAATGACAACAAAACAGAATGCAAAAAGATATGAAAGTGAAAATATCTGAAAATTAATGTATAAATAACTCTGTTAATTTATGACAAATGCTTGCTTCATGGATTAATTGCAAAGCTATAATTATTCTGATATGTGATCACAGTATATGCAACAACACAGTAAGAGAAGCTTAGCTTGAATTATATGAATTACATGATCTATGCTTTGACTGAAAACAGTACTCATAAATGGTTGTACAGGTATTATTCTTAGAATATATGTTCAAAAGAGTCAAGATGCTAAGCCATTCTGTTGTAGAGGAAGTGTGCCTTGCCAGTTCCTTACCCCAAAATATTTTGACACCAACTGAGGGGTACAATTGCCAAAAAAGGAAGCTATGACACTGTCTTCAAAATTTTAGGAGTATATCTGTTTGGTGCACATGAAAGAATTGCAGAGAAAAACATTGGAAGATTGAGGCATGGACATAAAGTACAAATTATGAGGAATCTTGTGTACATGCTAAGAAATCTAGAGCCTAGAGATGTTTGGTGCCATGACAAGTTTTAAAATTGGTGACAGTAGTTTGGGGTTGTACTCAGACTATTTAAAAAGAAATGGGAAAAGACACTCATGATTACAGGATTACTATGGCAGTGATCAGTGTCAAACCCTCTAACCTCATTTTGCCTGAATACCTAGAAAAAGAGATTTGTTTCTACTCTCCAGTAGCAAAAAGTATGCAGTGGAACATACAATTACAAGACAGGAGTGATATGATATGGATGCACATATATGTCCATACATGTGTAAACACATACACATGTATTTGCTTTAATGTTAGGGGCATGGTCAACACAAAGCAAGCCATAACACATGGATGCTGAAAGTCTAGGTAATTAAAAACTAGTAAGAAATAAATATTGATAAAAGTGTATATAATCATAAGTATAGGTTAATCAAGCAATCTATGATAAGCCATATTAATGATGATTAGTCTCAACAACCAAATTTAAAATAAAAAGCAAACACAAAATAATGGAAAGCAATAAGTAACAGAAGTAAGCCAATTAGAAGCTGTCCCACTGACACAAACTCTAGAGTTTCTATTTATTTAAATATGGCACACAAAGTTAGAATCTTGTAGCATTGTGAGACATGTTGAAGTCATACTGCTTAAGAAAATTCTGAATTAAAGAATTTGGAAAATTCCAAATACATTAATTTTAGCTCAATTTCAAATTTGGAATGATTAACAATTCACAGTTTAACATAAAAATGGAAATCTCCAGGATATCACATCAGATTGCAGCTGAAAGCAACTGAGCATATTATTGTGGGCCAGGTGCCTTTTTGAGTGCTACATATACAGTGACCTTATTTCATCATCATACATTTGTAAGACAGATACAGATATTATCTCTATTTTGTAGAAGAGAACACTGAAGCATAAAGGTACAAAACCAAGAAAACAGTAAATTTGAGGATCAAATCCATGCATACGGACTGATGCCAGCTTTCAGATTTTTAGCCACTAGGCTATTGTAGGTTATTGGCTCCTCTCTAATTTGCACTGGTAGATCTAACCTAGGGACACAGAGAAGACCAGTAACACCCACTGGCATACTGAAGATCATATTCATTTGTAACTCTGATGAGAAAGCTCAAAATAACAGAGTGCCACTGAGAAGGAGAATGGGATCCCAAGCTACACCTTGGTCAAAGGAAGACACAGCAGGAGGAGGTGACAGATGGGATGTGTGGATTGCAGAAGGGACAAATAGGGAGTAGGTCTTGAATGACTCCACAGGGAGAACAAACTTAGAAAGCAGGTAGGGACTACCCTGTACTTTGGGACATTTATGAAAGGTTGTGTAAATAAATGAGGTGGGCAAACTGACAAAGGAGTGGGAGAGGAGTGAGAGCCAGCCCTGCTCTAAATACCATCATTCCTAGGTATGAAAGCTAACTGGATGAGTGCTGCATATTTGGGAGTGAGCCAGAACAGGTGGTTAACTTCAAGGGAAAGGTAAAAACCTCTGTCATGTCTAGAGTGTGGAATCAGGTAGAATTAAAGTGGGCTCAGAGGAAAGTACAGAGCAAAAATGCTGGTAGCTTTTGCTATCTGGAATCCGCGCACACCCCCCACCAAACACACACACACACATAGTGCCAAATACAGTCTTCCTTGCTTTGTATAATCTGTATTTTAGAAACTGAAAGTGCCAAGAAACACCTCAAAGTTCTATATGGACCTGCATTCAACTGATTTTGTTGGAGGAAGAGGCACAATGTAAAAGTACTCTGTCTGATAGTGAGTCAGATTCTCACTTTCACAGCACGTTAAGGAATTCTCGCCAGTTGTAGTTAGTCTTTTTAGACATAAGCTTGACCCAGCATTATCAGACTGGCTCAATGTACAACACCCTCACTGACCGAATAACATTCTGGTTTCAACTCTGTAAGTCAGAGGTAGAGAAAAAGAAGCACAGAGCGAACAAAACAAACATAAGAATGAATACTTGCACTTATGTCTGGAACTAGTTATTAGTCATGTCAGCCTAATCAGATCAGAGGGCTCCTTCAGACAAAAGAATAAGATATTTTGGTTCAAGGCATATTAGAATTCGGAGTGCTTATTAAGTAGCCAGAAAGGCAGCTACAATGAAGATACCAGTCAGATAGGGTTTTTATGCAAATAAATTTTTTAATGACCGAAATTTAAAATATTTTAAATGTTTTTTGTCTTAAAATATTTTGTACTTTAGTGTATAAAGCAAAATCTAGCTGAAAAAAAAAGATGATTTTAGCTAAAGCAATGACGAAAATTAGACGGATTTAGAATGCTGGCTCAATTTTTCAAACTAAAATGTAGAAAATGAAGATTGCTTTAGAAAACACCATCAAAATAATTTACAGTGATTATTACATTTATTTATATAAAGCATGCCCTTTGATGCTTAATTGTGAATAACTGGCTTTCGGTGTGGCTGTAGTGATGATTAATTAGTTCACCTACTGATATTTAGCTTTGAAATGCTTATAATAACATGAGTGAGCAACCTTAGGCTGAAATTCAGATTGAGCCTCTAAAAATCAAAATCAGAGTAAAATACTCACTGCACGGCACTTCCAGTGGGTGCCCAGTCACGTCACACCACCCGACAGGATGGATGTCAGGACTGTCAGCATCTATCCAGTAGTCGTATTTATGGTCCCAGCCATCAAAATGAACCTGTGAAAGTGAGTTTTAGATTACTAGTATTTAATAAATCCAAGTATTTAGCTTTCATAGTCTCTGCATCAAACACTTGAAAACAGATCTCTGAAGTTCAGGTAAAAATGTTATTTTATTTTTAAATAATTACTTGTACTTGAAAGGCAGATTTTATAGAAAGTAGAGAGAGAAAGAGAGAGAGAGGGAGAGAGAGAAAGAGATCTTCCATCCATTGGTTCATTCCCAAATGGCTGCAACAGCCACAGCTGAAAAGATTCAAAGCCAGGAGCCAAGAGTTTCTTTTAGGTCTCCCAAATGGGTGCAGTGGCCAAATGAATTGAGCCATCCTCTGCTGATTTCTCAGGAAATTAGCAAGGAGCTGCTTTGGAAGTGGAGTAGTCCAGACATGAACTACTGTCCACATGGGATGCCAGCACTTAATAGTTGGGGAATTAGTCTATTGAGCCACTGCACTGCCGGGGACCAGAGAACTGCCGAACAGCAGGAGTGACTCCATTTTGTTAATTCCTCACTTTGTAATGGTCTTGGAATGCAAGATCCAGTTATCCTTCACCTAGTTTCTTCGTAATCTTTCACCTGTAATTGTTCACCCAAGATAATGGTTGTCATGGTGACCTCTGCCCTATCCGGCCCACATCCTGCTGTAAAACTTCCCCCCCAGCCTTTACCTGCTGCTTAAATACTGCCTGAGAAAATAAAGTTTTTGGAGCTTGATCAGACCTCCTGTCTTGCTCCCATTCTTCGTGTCTCCTGTCCCCTCCAATCGTCGGTTCTCTCCCCAGGTCTCCGTTGAAGACCCCGTGGGTGGGGCACTGCACCAGCACCAGGTTAAAATTTTATTAATCACGTCTAACAGCTCAGACAGTATTCAAAACCTACACATTCAACTAATGTAGCCATCAAAAACTTTTTCCTTGAAAACAAGGTTTTCTAAGAAATGTCAGAGATTGGAAATTACAATTTTTCCAGCTATTTATTAGAATTCCAAGGCTTAAAACAATCTGTTTTTTTTTTTTTTTTAAACTAAGGCAAATACTATAAAGATGTTGAGAGGAGAGACACTTCCTGAGGTATGGTCCTGGGAGCCACTGCAAAAACCATGGCAGCCTTGTCAGCAAAAAAGAGTCACAAACATGGCATCAATATAATCCTTGTATTGGAAGGAAATGCATGAAGGAGTGAGTTGCTAAATCTCCACAAATCAGGAAAGATGAAATGCACCAAATATCGAGGGCAAAATATGCTCCTAGAGAGGAGGACACATTAAGCTCAGCCTCAGCTGAGCCTATCTGAAGCCAGAAGCCAGGGGCCTCCTCTGGATTCCCCACATGGGTGCAGGGTTCCAGAGCCCTGGGCCATTCTCCATTGCCTTCCCACACCACAAGCAGAGATCTGGATGAGTAGTGGAGCGGGTGGGGCATGAACTGGCACCTACATGGGATCCTGGAGTGTGCAAGCAGAGGACCAACCAACTGAGCCACTGTGTTGGGCCCTCAACAATACATTTTACAAACTTCTACTTCTGCCCATGACAGAATACCCTTTCACAGTAACAAGCATAAAACTATAAAATTCATGCAGCAGCTGTTTATAGATTTTGGACAAAGGGCAGCTCAGAAATGCGATCTCTAAGTAATGGATAGTATCTTGGATGAATCCTTTAATATCAGTCTAAACACAATTTCCAAATGGTAGCATGCAAAGGGAAACATAAATAATGCAGTTAGGCCATGCTGAGGAGTTGTGCCTAGACTGCAACTCAGAATGGGTGAAGCAGATGGAATTAAAGGACAAAGCAGCAGACAAGACAGAGCAAATCAGAGGCCCCTAGTCTATGCAGAGCTATGCACAAGACCTTGGGGCCAAGGACGGGACTGTACATCTGCAAGGAATGTCTTCAGGAAGCCAAGAACAGGACAACTGATATGAAGCTCTGACAGAAATCAAGGTGTCAGAGGTCATACATCACTGGAAGAGAAGAGAGACCTTGATAACAACTTGATAATTTGATTGAAGCACCAGAAAGTCCAAAGGGTAAGGGAATGAACCATACCCTGAAACTACCCCAGATAAGCCCTAAAAAAGACTCCCTATATGACTAGCTCTATCCTTTTAAAGACAACATAGTTTAACTATATACTCTATCACTAATAATGTTTGGGATAACAAGTCCTGGCTCCTTGTACTCCTTGCTGATGCACCTGAGATGACTGTTCAGGTACTTGCGTCCCTGCCACCCGTGTGGGAGACATGGCTGGAGTCTGTACTTTGGGTTCATCCTGCCCTGGCCCTTCCTGTTTTAACCAGAAGAATGTAACAATTTCAATAGACACAGGAAAAAGATCAGACAAAACGCATTCCATGATGATAAACAGGAACATTAAACTAAGAGCTAGGAGGAAGCTCCTTAATTTGCAAAGGACATTTATATAAAGCTCACATTTGTATGATACTAAATGATTTTATTAAATGGTACCCCTAAAATCAGGGTTGAGGCAAATTTATCCATACTTACAACTTCTATGCAAGATTTTGATACAATGCAATAAAGCAAGAGAAAAAAAATAAAAGGCCTAAAGTTACAAAATATCTTAGATATAAAACTATATTATAGTCTCAGGTGTAGAAAATCATAAGATACCTAAAAAATTTAATTACTAGAATTTAGCAATATTATAACATTCAAAGTCAACATTAAACTATTTCATTCTTATATTCTGACATCAAACAAGTAGAAATTTTTAAAAATTCTATTTACAGTTATAGTTAAGAAGGCATGAAGAATCTTCCAAAATATCTAAGAAAATGCACAACACCTACACAATGAAAACCCACAAAGCATTCCTAAGAGAACTTAAGCAGGACACACATAAATGGAGAATTAGCATGCCCGCCTGCTGGAAGACACAGCATTATTATTAAGATGTCATTTCTTCCCAGATTGTTCTATAAATTCATTATAGCCCCAACAAAGATGTTTTTGTATTACTGGTATGCTGTTTATAACATTACACAGAAATGCTAATTATCACAGAAGACTGAAAGCTGTAAGACTCAAGAAGAAAACTCAAGATATAATCTTTGTGATAGTGAGACAGTCAAGAATGCTATCACACAGAAAGCATTACCAAGAAAAGAATACATATAAGATTCCATTTAAACCACAATCAAAAACTTTGTTTTTCAAATTCATTAGGAAAAAGATAAAGACGTGGCATCAACAGTATATTTATCTGACCAAAGATTTCCCAAATAATCCAATTAAAGCAGGTGGAAAACTTGTAAGACATTTGAGAAAAAAATGCACCACCACTGAAATGCATGAAATTAAGTGACTGATGGCCAGTGCCATGGCATATTAAGTTAAGCCTCCATCTGTTGTGCTAGCATCCCACATTGACGGCAAGTGGAGTGTTGGCTGCTCCCTGCTAATATGCCTTGGAAATCAACATAAGATGATTCAAGTTCTTGAGCCACTTCTATCCATGTGGAAGACCTTGAAGAAGCTCCTGGCTCCTGGTTTTTGACCTGCCTAGCTCCAGCTGTCACAGCCATTTGGGGAGTTAACCAGCAGATGGAAGGTTCTCTCTCTCTCTTTCTGTGTGTATGTGTGTATCTTCCTGTCTCTGTAACTCTGCATTTCAAATAAAAAAAAATCTTAAAAAAAAAATATTGACAGGATCAGTTTGATGAAGCCACTGGGTTCCCAGAAAATATATCAATGTGATTATGAATGTAAAATTGGATAACCAAAGAAAAAATGTCTTGCCACTTTCGTTTACATAATTAAACTTGTGTCCATCCTGTGTCTTGTAGCAAAGACAATAAAATAAAATGAAATGAAAAAAAAATAATCTGAAAGAAAGCATTCTCTGCAATTTTAACATTAATTTTAAAAACTTGTAAACAGGGCCCGGCGCAGTGGTGCAAGTGGTTAAGGTCCTCATCTTGCACGCCCGGGATCCCATATGGGCGCCAGTTCTAATCCCTGCAGCCCCGCTTCCCTTCCAGCTCCCTGCCTGTGGCCCGGGAAAGCAGTTGAGGACTGCCCAAGGCTTTGGGACCCTGCACCTGCATGGGAGACCCAGAAGAGGCTCCTTGCTTCGGACCGGCATAGTATCAGCCGTTGCGCTCACTTAGGGAGTGAATCATCGGGCGGAAGATCTTCCTCTCTGTCTCTCCTCTCTGTATATCCGCCTTTCCAATAAAAATAAATAATAAAAATAAATTTTTTTTAAAAAAACTTGAAAACAACCCAAATCCATTTACAACATCAGATGAGTATCTATTCACAACCTAGTGTGGCATATCCATCAAATGAATACTAGATAGAAATACAAAGGGAGCAAGCATTCACACACAAACTTGGAGTCAAGCAACAGCATGTTGAGTAAAGTGGCAGATCCCCCCCCCCCCCCAACAAACACACTGTGACTCCAGAGACAACAGAAATCCGGTCCCGTTGGCTGGGAAGTGGCACAGAGCAGTACAGCTGCACAAGAGCATCCAGGAAATGAAAATAATTATCACTGGGGTGACAGTTACAAGAGAGATTATACCTTCTGAAAACCCTTAACATCTGCATATTTTATCAGTGGTGAGTTATACCCAGATAAAAAGTCTTTAATATTTCTGAATTGAGGTGCTGTCTCCAGTGTGGCTTTTGTGCACTTTTTCTGTATTTACATGGAGTGATGTTGCAGGCTCTCACTACCTTGAGTCACATATGTGAGAATGGGAAGGCAAAGCAGCTTCTCCTTCACAAAATGAAGCCTACTGCTTTGGTTCTATAAGCACAGTGATGTTTGTCCAAGTCTGTATTCTGGACCAAGAAGCGACAGGACCATTTCCAATTTGTCTGATTTCAATGCCCTTCTTTTAGATTTGCAATGCGCTTCTTTACATTTCAGAAGCATCTGTCTCTTATCCCAAACGAAACAGGCCAAACAACATAAAGCGAGTCCTGTTTCAAGAAGACAGAGTACTCAATTAGAGCT